TAGGAGGAGGGTCTAGGTATATAACCCTAAACCCTGAAGTCAACAGGGGTTTTGGGGTTTAGGGTTTACGATCATCCTAATGATAAAGACTCCAAAAAGGGGCCCCTGCCTTGAGGAAACCCTAATGTTGAATGGCATTGGAGATATTTGAGCATTGGTTTTTTCCTTATAAAGATTCTTCTACTGACATGGAGGGCCTACGCAAAACTACGCGGAATGGTTGTTCGCCCTTAGCGGGGCTACTCTTGCTATCCAGGTGACTACGCGGACTACGGGGCACACCTGGCCTAAACAACGTGAAATGCAATATGTCAATATGTCTTATCAGACATACAAACTACGCAGACTACGCAGACAAGACAACCTACACGTGACTACGCGAAACTACGCCAGACTATCCCCTGCAGGCCCGAGGCTACGCGAGCACTTTTGCAGCTTCACGGCCATGATAGCTCTTTCATGCAGACAAAAAACCCTGCTCATTTGGACTACCCCGAACCCTAAACCCTAGACCCTTAACCCTAGACACTGGAAAGAACTTTTCGAGACCCGTGTCCACTTCTGGGTCCAAGGCAGAATCCCGTCCAGGTTTAGGGCTTAGGGTTAAGGGTTTAGGGCTTAGACTTAAGGGTTTTGGGTTGGTTAAGGGCTAGGGGTTTAGGGTTTAGGGTTAAGAGCTTGGGGTTCTGGGTTAAGAGTTTCGGGTTAAGGGATAAGGGTTCAAGGCTAAGGATTTAGGGTTGCTGGGGCTCAGTGTCGAGGAAGGCTTAAACAGGATGGCTTTATCTGGTTGCTTTCGGATGTAGTGCACCATGCGACGCCAAAGTCCGTAGTGCTGTGACTGTTATGTTGAGTCCGGTTCAAAATTTCGTTTGTGGTCCAATTTGGAAAGTGCCGTCGGCCAGTGCTGTCTAGCCTGATATGCTCTCTCATATGAACGTCTAGCTGCGAGTGTCGCCAGCAGCAGAGAGGCGAGACTGCTCCGCGATCGAGCGCGCCAGCTCGGTAGCTAGGGCAGTGCCTTGCGATACTGCCACGGCCTTGAGGACTCTCTCTCTGACTTCCAGCATTACCCCGATGACTGGAGAGTACGACGTGGTGACTTCTATCGAGTCTCTAACTCGTTTGAGCAGTGATGCCATGCCACTCAAATTGCTCTCGGCGACAGCGTGGAATGCGAATGGATGGCTTTATCCAATTTTTTGGTTGCCCCACTGCTAGGAGGGGACCCTCACAGTAGCGTAGGAAACGGGAAGACGTGCCTACCGAACGAGTCGCCAGGTACTAGATATTCTGGGATTTCTGGTTTGGGGTTCATGGTGGATATGCTACCTTGCCTAACACATTAGTTAGACAACACTCCAGAAACCTATCAAAATTTGCCGACGAGCCAAATGATCGCTATTCTAAACCAAAGCTACTTGCCACATCTTGCCACGTGTCGGTCAAGGGTCGGAACTTTACAGTCTCTCTGTAGTAGATAGACTATGGGGTCCTCTTAACCCATAAGCCCTAAGAGTATATGAGATCTTTTTATGATATTCGGCAAGGCCATGTTCTGTCTACTTAAATGGGACCATAAGGCGTGGATGCCTTGCGTGGGTTCAGGGTGTAGAGTTTGGGGTCTAGGATCAGGACCCTAAACTCTAAACCCCTTAAACCCTACAAGGCTTTAGCAACTTGCAAAGATTCTTTTGACGATCCCATAGCTTGCTGTAGGATTTGAGACCATCGCCGTACTGGGGTTTGGTAGGGAATAAGAGAATTGATTAAATAGGGCTTGAATATAGATGTTTCTTTATTCCGTACTACTCACCAGTAACTCGCGAGATTAAAACCAAAAACACGCTGAAACACACATGAAAAAAGCGATGCGCTGCCTCTCAAAAAGGTCCATCAAACAGAACACCCTATATATATTTTCGCAACACTCGCGCAAAACCTCTGAAGCCTACACTCCCTGAACCCCGTGCCCTAAGCCCTGAACTCTAAATTGAACTTGAGCCATGGGTCCACTGACTGCTGCAGCTGGCTCTCTCTTCTCGCCTGGAAGAACATCTTGAACACTTGGCAGAACGTGAGTGGCGTTTTTCTATATTGCCCTAATTAAGGGTCCAAGGACCTAAATAACAGGGTTTTAGGGCCCAAATACTATACTATTAATGGTATTTGGGCCCTAAATCCCTATTATTTGGGTCCTTGGACCCTCAGGGTTGGGTACCACAGTATCCCCGAATAAAATACTACTCAATTGGCAGGATGTGGAGTAGGGCTTCAAGGAGCTTCACCTTAAAATCCTGTACCCAATGCTCTGACTCGCATAGTCTAGCAGGATTCAGCCTTCCGGTTGGAGCTTCAATGGAGGATTGCTGTCGAGGGTACAAAGCTCTAAACTGGTTTCCCCCCTAAACCCTAAATCCTACCACCCCCTCTCTACTACACCCCCAATGTAGGTTGTAGTTCTTCTTTTGTCGCCCTAATTTGGGGGATGTGAAGATGGGGGGGGAGAGAGCCCGGGGCATGAGTCTACTCCCCAGTTTAGGGCTTAGGGCATAGGGTTTAGGGTTTAGCGTTGGGGCGTTGGTTGTAAGTTTATGGTTCACCCTAAACCTTAAACCCTAGGGTTTAGGGTTTTTAAGGCTTTGGAATTCTTGGGGTTGGGGTCTCAAAAAGAACCCCTACATCCTCGTTAAAAGAGGCTCCATAATCCTCTTATAGTCCTAGGAATAGTTCCTTGGGGAGTTGGTAAAGCTGATTGTAATGCCTACCTCATACTAATTTTGAAGCCCCCGCCCTCCCCACCACCCCCTCATCTTACATATTCCCCATACGGCATTCGATGTATTGGAACCATATTGAATACTGGGGCTGAAATGCGTCTATTATAGGTTTTGCGGGTAAATATGAGCTATAGTTTAAACTCCTAGTATCCCGCTTAATAACCCCTATACTACTCCCCTATATAATCCCCTACATATCCCTGCTTGAAAAGGAGTTTACACCCGAAACCCTAAACCCTATATAATCCCCTATATTTACCCAAGTAATTTCTGATTTTTCCATTATCCCCACTATATCCACCCAACCCTAAACCCTAAACCACCCTTTAAGGTTGCACATATGGTTCTTGCGTACTTGGACTGGGACTCCTTGCGGTTTGTAGCCCAATCTCAGTCCACAAGGAAACAACACCTGCTCGCTGCCCTGGTACCCACGGTTTAGGGTTTAGGGGTTTTTAGGGTTTATTTGTTTAGGGGTTTAGGGGTTTTTAGGGTTTAGGGGTTTTGGGTGTTTGGGTGTTTTGGCTTTAGGGGTTCAGAGTTTAGGATCCAAAGGAATTCTGGTACTCCATTAGCTCTCATCTACCCACGGTCATGCAAGCTGTTGGGCAGCAACAGGAGTATCCACAAACATTAAGAATGGCAAGAAAACTGAAAAGCCTAACAAAATATAACCCCATAAGCCCACAACGGTATAACTTTGCAACCCCTAAACCCAAACCCCTGAACCCTTAACCCTGTGTTTTTTCCGTTGGTACTGCTGCGTTGTACATGAGACATCTCAGGACCGTCCAAGTAGCCCACGGGTCGATAGCGTAGTACCTCCAAGTTCCACTAATGGAGAAAAAATGGGTTGTAGGGACAGGCAAGGCTTAGTACTTAAGGGGAAGTTTGCGAACATTCTGAACCGGATTCCGACTAATAGGGTTTACAAAGGGTACAGGGACCTGCAGGATTCGGAATTTAGGGTTCATAGATTAAACCCCGCTGGTGCGTTGAAAGATTGCATGCTCCGTCTCGCATCTTCAGCAGATGCACTGAGCCATAGTCGAAACTCCTCGTATCCCCCTTGATATCAACTCCTATGATAGTCGCCTATATACACCCCTATAGAACCCCCTTTAAGGAGTCTGTTAGACTATAGCTTACATGCCTACTCCAGTACTTACTTACCCAAACTGCGTCATACAGCAGTGCTATTGGTCACCACGCCTAGGATGAGGGTTTGGGGTTCAGGGCTTAGGGTCTAAGGGTGCAAGTACCCAATGATCGTATATTCGCTCAAACTCTGTATGCACTATAATTTCTATTACTCAAGCTCTGAATACTTGGAGCCCATGGGACTGATTAACTACGTAAACCTGGGCTATACTTATCATTGGGATAACCCCTACAAGCCCATTTAGAAGGATTTGGCAGTGAGTCAAAACCCCGTGCCCGATGGCCCGCGCGGACAAGCCTCTGTTACATACCCTTGAAACTCGGGGCTTGTTACATACCCCTTGTCGNNTTGTCGCGCGGCTATAAAAGACTTAGAATTGGAGGACTTGTCGCGCCAGGCGCGCACCTGTTACATACCCCTTGTAACGGGGGTATGTCGCGTGTGTGGGCCCCGGTCTTGTTACAAGCCTTTGGTTTCGACCCGCTCCCACTTATAAGTAGTTACTAAGGCCAATGGGCCTCCAAAACCAAAACCCTGAACACTAATCCCTAAACCCTAATCCCTATAAGCCCTAAGCTCTCTACCCGCCCAAAATCTGTATAGACCTTAATTCCTGTCAGCCAGCTCAAGCCCTCGGTACCGAATTGTTGCTCAACTGGACTCTCTGGGTACTTGTATGTACAACACAAGCAGGTTTGGTACGGAATGCGTCCCTTTACCAATGGATCAACACGGTCGTCCAAAGGGTTAGGGTTTAGGGTTCCAAACCGCAAACCTTCAAAACACTGCCGTAGGGGTCCAGGTACCCAAAAACCATCACTTACCCAAAACCTGTACTACAATTACGCGTACTGCAATGCCAAATACCCAATTAAATCCAGTTGGGGATTCTGGATTTACGGGCCTGGGGTTAGGGTTTAGGGGATTAGCGTTTAGGCTTAAGAGGTTTAGGGATCAGGATTTAAAGATTTCGGGATTAGGGTTTAGAGCTTTACAGGGTTTAG